CAGTACTGTGCTCTGTTGAAGAACTATCTACATGGGATCAAAGTGACAATAGGCAGGCTAGATAGGAAACTTAGGGAGCTCTGAGGAATAACTCAGAAAAGGATGATAAGAATGGCTGTACAACTCAAAGAATGTGATCAATGTCACTGAATTGCATATGTAGAAACTGTTGCATTGGTAGATGTTTTGCTGTGTATATTTTCCACAATAATAAAAAAAAGTTAATTAAATTAAAAAAACACAAATCTGTGTGATCTTGAGAACATTATGAACCTCTCTGAATTTCAATTTATTTATTGGAAAACGAAGCATAATATCACTCTCCCGTCATCTGCCTCTCATGTTGTTGTTATGTGCCGTCAAATTGGACCCGACTCATAACAACCCCTCCTTGGGTTTCTGAGGCAGTATCACTGTGGAAGTAGATTGCCCCATCTTCCTTCCTAGGAGTGGTTGGTGGGTTTGAACTTCCAGCCTTCTGGTTAGCAGTCAAGTGCCTTTAGGCACTACGCTACCAGAGCTCCTCTCATAGTGAGGATTAAATGAGATAATTAAATGAGATAATTTATTCAAAATGTCCAGCCTCATGCCTGGATGGTTAAGCCTTTGTTAGGGACTAGTTCCCTCCCTTCCACCCAGTTGCCTCATCTGAAAAATGGATAAAAATTCCTATCTCTTCAGACTGCTGTGAGGATTAAAGTAGATAAGGTGCTTGCTAAACAGTACTTACTTAATACAGATTAGTTTCCTTTCCCCTTCCCTTAAAATGGACTCTCAAACTGATAAAGGTTCCTAGTGAGAGAGTGAGAATGGAAGTGGGCCATAAATTGCCTCGTTTCACTTAGCGACTGTTTCCCAATTCTCTCCTGCTACTGCTGTACTCTTGCAGTGTTTACCCGAATTCTGGTGTATGGTTGTAGAAAATAGATCCTTTGATGGTTTTGTTGAAATATCCTGGGAACCAGAGGAATGCAGGCCAAGTTAGTCATCCTTTGTGGAACTATAGTCAGGAGGCGATGTTTACCTTGCCCAACCAGACTCTGCAGTAAAATATAGAGTACAAGTAGATGTCCTTGGAAAATTATGGATTGAGGCTTCTCTGTATACCAGAATGGGACAAGTCTGTTCTTTGAAGAATCTGTAGGTATTCATTGAAATACCAGAGCTGGCTAGTGAAATAGGCTTTGAGGGCCCAAGCCCGGGATAATGGTGGCCATGATTGGGTAGTGAACAGTGTAGTTATGGTGGACTAGATTAAAGGGTTCACATCCGCACCATTCAATTCAACTTTCTGTGATGATGGAAATGTCCTATTTCTGTTCTCTCTAGTATAATAGCCATGTGTTTGTGTATCTGAAAAGTGGCTAATGTGACTGAGAAACAGAAGTTGTGATTTTATTTAATTTTAAGTAATTTAAATTTGAACTTAAATAGCCACATATGGTTAGTGGCTATTGTTATTGGACAACATAGGTTATGAAGATTGCAGTGTCCCATGAGAAACCACTTCCAAACAGGCAAAATCGCACATGGGTGTATGTCATTTCCATCCTTACCCCTGATGTGGCTGGGTGTGACCGCAGGGGTTCTACTCTGTACTAGTGAATGAAATTAGGCTGAGCAGGTTACAATTTTGCGCAGTGGAAGGATTGAAACAGAACTGAAGAGAATTTGGAGTGGCCATAGGGATTGTGACGTAGTGCCTCGGGACTGCTAACCAGAAGGTTGGTGGTTCAAACCTACCAGCTGCTCTGCAGAAGGAAGACCAGGCAATCTACTTCTGTAAAGATTTACAGCCTCAGAAACTCAATGGGGGTTGCAATGGTTCAAATCGACTTGATGGAAGTGGATTTTTTTTTTTAAGAGTTATTGTGGCTTGCATGCTATGATTCTAGAAGCTATGCCACTGGTATTTCAAATACCAGTGGACTCACTCATGGTGGACAGGTTTCAGCAGAGCTTACAGACTAGGAAGAAAGGTCTGGTGATCTACTCCTGAAAATTGGCCAGTTAAAACCCTATGGATCACAACAGAATATTGTCTCACATTATGCTGGAAAATGAGCCCTCATAGGTTGGAAGGAACTCCAAATACATAGTGGCTGCAACAGTGGACTTGAGCATGCCAATGATTGTGAAGATGGTATGGGACTGGGGAATATTTCCTTCAGTTGTACATGGGGTCAACATGAGTTTGAGCCCACTTGACAGCAACTAACAACAATAACAACAGAAAAGGGGAGGGTGCAATGCAGGCTACAGCTCAGCACTAGAATCTCCTTCAGGGGCTAGAGTTCTGGGTCCTGACCAGTTGCACACACTCTTGCCTCATAGCCTCCATATTACTAGATATCATGGGTCTGGTAGGTCCTGTCCTCATAAAGTGTCCCTGGAGCAAGATAAGTCATTGGTAATAGACACAAATGAGTCTCCATGGGATGCATTGCCCTTAGCCTCCTCCCAACAACACTGAGCCCTTATTTAAGAGGTTAGTCTCCACCAAGCCTCCCGAGGGGAGGGTCTTGGCAGACCCTAGCTCAATCTATGTTTGTAGAAAAATGAATGGATAAACACACTTATTTGGGTCGCTGGTGGGTGATATGAAGCTGCCCTAATGTGGTCCTCTGGTTCTCCTTAATAAGGAAGGAATCCCAGTGTGGCCCACCAGCAGCCTTTGGTGATTGGGTGCCTCATGTCTTTGGCAAATGGGAGGAACTCAACTTGCCTTGTGCCTACTGCTCTTCTTCCTCTTCCATTTCTTTTACTTGCTTCCCTCCTCCATCTCCAAGGCTCCAGTAGATACCGTAACTGTCCCTTGAGCTGGGCTATGCTCCTCACTTCAGATGCAGTACCAAGCCCAGGCCTGGAAGATGCCAAAATCACCTCATTTCTTCTCAGCTGATCTCAAGGAGAAAGCAATCTGCCTCTCCACCTCCACCTCCACTCCTACATATGCCAGATGCAGGTTACTGATATAAGAATCACACAATTAGTTGAGTGGAGGCCTGGAGCTCTGTCAAGAATTCTCTTTGAACCTTGTTTCCCCTGTCTGTCAAATGGTGGAGTTGAATAGTTTCTTGGAACTCTAACATTCTAGGGTTAAAGTAGTTTCCAATGAAATGTGATTATTGGAGAGGCTTAATCACTCTAGGCAGCTTTAACATCGAAAAGAAGAGCTGGTTAACACAAATGAGTCTCTAATTGGCAGCCTGTGGTGGGGGAGCTCCCTTAAGCAGGAGACCTAAATTCCCTCCTGTGCATGCGGTGGGTGCTGATGTTCCTTGGCCCTTCATTCAGGAAAGACCCTGCCCTTACTACAAATGCTCCCCAGATGCAGTTATCTGCTATCCACAATAGATTTTTTTGTCATTCCTGAACCTGCTTAGATGGCTAAAGAGAAAATCTGGCTTGAGAGCAAGAGTTTGGATAAACAGGAGTATTGTGCTTAAAAACTAAGTTGCCTGAGAGTTTAAGCTTGCAGGGCTTACTACAAAAGGCACACTGAACTGGGCATCAGATGGATCTGGGTTCTAGGCCTACTTACAGGCTGTGTGGTTGTGGGCTGGTCCCCTTACCCTTGTTTTGCTTGCCTCATTTTCAAAATGGGGATAATAACCAACTCTGTGGAACTTGCTTGGTTGTTGAGGGAACCAAAAGGAGTCATGTATCTAAAGTTATATGGATAACATATGTAATACATATAAACCAAAAACCAAACTCACTGCTGTTGAGTCGCACTTGACTCATAGCGACCCCTCCTTGGGTTTCCAAGGTGGTATCACTACAGAAGTAGATTGCCTAATCTTCCTTCCAAGGAGTGGCTGGTGGGTTTGAACCACCACCCTTCTGGTTAGCAGTCAAATGCCTTAGGCATTATGCCACCAGACCTCCTTATATATATGTAAAATGTAGTGTATATAAACCAGTTGCAATCCAATCTGAGTGCAACTCATGTGAGCCCATGTGCTCCCTAGAGTCTTCAGTGGCTGATTTTTGAGAAGCAGATTTCCAAGTCTTTCCTCTGAGGCACCTCTGGATGAACTCCAACCTCCAATTTTGGTCAGCAGCTGAGCACAGTAAGCTTTTCTACCACCCAGGGGTTCTGTTTTGTATATACAGTGATGTGGTGTGAATGTGAGATGGTGGGGATGGCATGATCATGTTCTTCAGGCATAAATAGCTGAAAGATAATAATCAAACAGCAAAACACCAGATTCCTTCTTGCAGTGCCTGAGAGCTTGTGCTGTGAAACAGTAAGATACTAAATCACTCCCGAGCTGTTCAAAGGATTAGGCAGAAATGTTAATGGCAACAGATGCTGCCTTGTTCCTTCCAGGAGGATTCAGGCTTCAGTGGAAGTATTTCTCTGCTGGCCTCAGCCCAAGATGTGTCCACAGCCCTTCCTCTGACCTGCCTTTCAACCCAGAGAGCGGCAGCCACTCAGTTTCTGCCCTGGGGGTCACAATCTGACTGGAGAACATTGGAAGCAGAATCTCGTGTTGGGAGAGCCTCAGCATGACAACAGTGCCCTGTAAGATCAGCTGATTTAAGCTTTAGGGAAAATGAGGAACACCAAATCTAGACTGGAACCCAGGGTTTCCATGGCTGCCATGAGTGAAGATGAAAGAAATGGGTTCTGATCTGGATTTGAGACCTTTCTGGGTCCCTGTACAGTGGGAGCTCAGCAGTTGAGATAACTGCTTAGGACCTTCTAGATATAATATTCTAGGAGATTATGAAAATGGATGAAGAGAAGCCAAGCAGAATTTATCAAGCTTTCTCCTCCAAGCACTTGGCAGCAAGGTTGCCACATTCTTGGGAAAAGAAAGAGGCTGTGTCAACATCGCAGTCTGGAGTTGGTACAGTTTCACAAACACTCTAGTAGAGGAGGGTGTTGAGCCTGAAGAACCCCAGGAGAAGAGCTCAGGGAACTTATGAACTTTTCAGACAAGTGACTGCATCCTACCCTTGGGATAGCTCCTAGGCCACTCAGCACTCACCTTTGAACGGGGATTGAGCTCGAGTCACCAGGAAGAGCCTCCTGCTCTTGCTTTGCCGGTCCTGGCGGATGTGGTAGCCCAGTGTGTTGCAGCGGCCCTTCTTGCAGCTCAGGCACAGGCCCTGGCTGAAGCTGTCCATGTTGCTGCACAGGTAGGCTGTGCTCTGCATGCTGGTGTGCAGCAAGGAGTCAATGAAGAGGTGCACGGATCGTTCGTGGGCACATTTTATGGTCTGGGTGATTGCTAGAACACAGAAGGCAAAGTGGTCTTTATCGCCCCTTAGTCCCAAGGACCCTCAGCTCAAAGATCATCTTGCTTCCCAGCCTACAGAAAACAAACCAACAAAAAACCCAAACTAGTTGCTGTCAAGTCGATGCCAACTCCTGGTCACCCCATGTGTTTCAGAATAGAACTGCACGCCATAGGCTTTTCAATGGCTATGATCTTCTGGAAGTAGATTGCCAGGGCTTTCCTCTGAGGTGCCTCTGGGAAGATTTGAACTGCCCACTTTTCAGTTAGTAGCTGAGCACTTAACTGTTTGCACCACCCAGAGGAGATTAGCAGTAGCAAATCAGGAACAAGGAGTGGATTGATGAGGCCAATGCACTGACCACAAAGGGATATAATAACCGACTGAAAACTAAAGAGAGAGTAGACCTCTCTAGGATTGTTTAGTGTAGAGGAATACTCCCAGTCACCTCAGGGCTCCTGAGAGCACCTCTCTATTGCAGCATGTTTTAGTACACGTCTTAATGAGAACCCCAAGACATTAAGAACAGACTATATTCACTGTATTACTTAAGAAAGCAAGGTAGTGTAATTCATTTTAGAAATATTTCTATCTCTAATGGTTAAACATACACAAATGCTGATGCCTTGTGGGTGAGTTATCTGGAGTTGCTTTGTGGGTGAGTTATCTGGAGTCACCTTGTGTGGACTGCCTCTTTTCTTAACTTACTAAGAAATGAGGCATTCCTAAGGCACCTGAAGGGTCTGGTAAAAGCTGACATTTCTCTCACAATGTCTACCTTATGTCCAAAACAGCCATTATATCCTTTAGATCACTGGCTTGTAAAACCAGCATGGTGAGTGGATTTGAAAGGACATGTTCCATAACCAGGGTTTGAAAAGCCCTGACCAAACAGCAAACTGATCAGGCTTATCTACCATGGATTTTGAGCCTTTTTTTTTTTTTTTTTTAAACACTCTAGGTCTTAACCTAATCTTTAATTATTCTCATTTCAATCTCATATCTCAATTATTCTTCAAGGAATGTTGAGAAACCATGACAAGTATGTGAAGTACCAAATGTGAAGGTAGGTCATCAGTAACTTTGCTTAAAGCTGTTTTCCCCAAGTATTTGAAGGCTAAATGCCAAGATGAGTCATAACAGTTCTTTGTCACTAGTGGTTGCATTTGTTGGGCACATACTGGGAGGCAAATACCTTCCATTCAGCTTCTCATTGAATCTTCACCCCAAGTCTGTGAGGCAGCTATTATAAGTTGAGAAAACTGAGCTTCGAAGACATTCACTACTTCACCCAAGTTCACAGAGCCAGGAGGTAGTGAGAGTGAAAAACCAGTTATTAATAAATAATGGTTAACATTCTGTTCATCACCACCCATCTGTCAATTTGTTGTACTGTGGTGGCTCACATGTTGCTGTGTTGCTTGAAGCTATGTTACCAGTATTTCAAATACCAGCAGGGTCACTCATGGTGGACAGGTTTGAGTGGAGCTTATGGACTAAGACAGATAGGAAGAAAGGTCTGCTGATCTACTTTTGAAAATTAGTCAATGAAAACCTTATGGATCAAACAAAACATTGTCTGACTTGCTTGTTTCAGACAGGTCACCAGGAAGGGTCAGGCACTAGAGGAGAACAGCATGTTTGGTGAAGTAGAGGGTGACTGAGGACATGGGAGACCCTTGGTAAGATGGCCATGATGATGGCTTTGAACATGCTGGTGACTATGAGGATGATGCAGGACCAGGCAATGTTTTCTTCTGTTGTCCATTGGTCCCATGATTCAGAGGTGACTCCATGACAGCTAACAATGACAACAATTCTGTTCAGATGTGGTTGGGAGAACTTCCCCAGAGTGAAAACACTTTCAAACAAGAGGGTGAAGTAAACAGAAAAAACACACCGAGCTTGGACAAACTGAATAAAAATGCTTGGTTCCATCGCTTTGAAGTCTAGCGGAAAAGAGCAAATGGCTGGTTGGTCAGATGTGTTTAACAGGCAGAGTTACTAAATGCCATCCTGGAGGTCACCCTTGGGATTTTCAAGGGTGTGGATTTGGGAGGAGGGCAGGCTGGTCAGCTGGGAATCTGTTGGTGACTGGAGGGACAATGACCTGAGGGAGATGTAAAAAAATGATAAGGAAAACTTCCCTGAAAACTGTCAGGAGTCGGTGGGTGGAAGGCTGGGAGTCCAGCCAAAATGAGTTAATGTCAAGCTTGAAGGTCAGTCTGATATGCGACAGGTGAGGGTGGTGATGTAATTGTGAGAGAATATGTTCTCAGCCCAGTTTTGGATGATTGGGGTGAGAAGGTGGCTTGCGGGGGTGAGGGTCTCCAGTTGGCTTAGAGCGAGTTGGCATGTTTTAACCGGGATGATATTTTGTAAATCATGAGAAATTTGGAAAGCCTATGGAATGTGTGGTTTCTGCTGACATTTTTCTTCTTTAATCCTGTGCATGTTGCCAATGTTCATATTACTGTTGTTGTTTTAGGATTTAAGAGAGAAGTGGGATAACAACCCAGATAACGCCAAATTCGGTTTCTGCCCTGAGGTAAAGGACTAAGGCATATTGCAGCCTGAACTCCAAATTCAAAGAATCACAGTGATATAGGATCAGCTGATTAATCTTCAGCGTGGGGAGTGGAACTATTCCTACTCTTGTGAGATCAAAGATCAAGTAGCCACGGTCTATTATTAAGTGGATCCTCATGTGGCCCAGAATAGAGAAAGCTCCTTCAGTGAGGAATGTTCTAGAGAAGGAGGAATGATCACAGGTGTCAGGATTCAGTGTTCAGAAGAGCTAGTATCCCAGGGAGTCCTTGGGTGGTGCAAATGGTTAATGTGCTCAGCGGCTAATCCAAAGTCTAGAAGTTCAAGTCCACCCAGAGTGCCTTTGAAGAAAGGCCTGCCTATCTACTTCTGGAAAAAAAAAAAAAAAATCAGCCATTGAAAGCCCTATGGAGTGTAGTTCTACTCTGACCCATATGAGGGGTCATGAGGTGGAATTGACTCAACTTGAGGTAACTGATTTTAGCACCCCAGGAGAGACTGTGTGTGGAGGAAGTGATTCCTGATGATGTCCTTTGGCTCATCCTCAGGGGCTGGGCTCTGAAGAACTCTGCCTGTTTAGTGGGGTGGGGTGGGGCTGATTGAGGAAGACCAGCTCTTACCCACTCCTACAAGGTCTCTCTCTGAATGGGCTTAGTGACCATACATCTTAAGATCCTACTCTTGCCAAACTTCCCAGAGTCCAACAGATTCTTCTAGATTCCAGAGGCCCTGGGGAAGTGTGGGAAGTGTAAGCTAGTGCTCCCGGCCATGCCTTCTTTCTCACCATTGAAGCCATACTTGGCAATGTGTTTGTAGAGTTCTAGGAAGTGGCAGCCAGGCTGGAAGGAGCCCCCATTGGGGTAGAAATCATAGTGTGCCACGGGCTGTTTGATGCCCACACTCAGGCCCATGTGCTCCCGTGTAAAGGTGTGAATGGCGTCCACAAAATTGGCGTCATCTGGTGAAAGACGATCACTGGGGGAAGTTCCCTCAAACAAAGGGCCGGCAGCATCCAGCCCTAAGAAGAAAGCAAAGACAAGGTTAGGTAGGGGAATAGGAAGGGGAGGAGAAACACCTCTTAGCTTTCTGATATTATTACACATTGACAACCTAGCAGGAAGAAGAGAAACTTGGGGCAAAATCTTTCTGTCGAAAATCTTGCCATAACCTTTTTGCAGTAAAACCACAGTAATTCATGGTGCTAAAAATTAGACATAGGCTGGACTGTAGGTAGGAGAAAAAAGGGAGTCCAAAAACTATACGCTGGTAGAAACAAGGTCATAGGAACAATGCTTGATTTATTTAAGCAAGTCAATTTAAGTACTTCTCAAGTTATTTCCAAGAGCATCTGTTTCCATACAGAAATTAAAACAAAACAAACAAAAATATTTTAATGTGTTTGTTATAAGTAGTTCTAACCATCCATCAGAGAAATAACTATTCGCCTGCATCTTGTCTGTAATTTATGTAAACAAGCTGGCTTTTCTCCTATACTCATGCCATTCATTCCATTGGAACATCCAGAACAGCCTTGGGATATCATTGTGAGCAAACAGGACTGCTCAAAGCCCTGGTCCTCAAGCGACAGATGGGTTTGCATGAAGCAAATGGCAGCTCTTGATTGACTCCAGTTGGGGAGTATTTAGTCACTCAAAGCTTGTTCTCTGGAGGACCCTTGGATGTCCTGCAGCAGCCCTGGCTTCCTTCCTGCTCAAGGAGGTGAAGAGGTGGACAGTGCTAGGAGATCACAGTTCTCTGGCCCCCATCCTTAGTGACAAATGTACAATTTCTTGTTGTGATTTATGTCCTTTATTTCATTAGGCTGACAACAGGGGGTTTAGCCTTCCTGCTGCCTCTGACATATGTGGGCCTGGTGAAGGCTTGCTGTGACCCACCGCACCAGGCAGAGGGAGGGGCCCCTGGGCTTGGTTGGGCCTGATGCTCCTCTCTGGTATTCTGACTCAGGCTTCTGGTCCTGGGTTCCCAGCAATGGCCTCACTGACCTCTGGAAAGCTTGCGTGGAAGTCCTGCTCACTCTGAGACTGCTGAGGGTTAAATCAGTGGAGCCATATGCTGATCTGTGGGCCAGACCTCACCAATCACCAGCAAGTTAGAAAAAATTAGGACAAGGACATGAGTTCTCCTAATGACAAATTTATTAGTTTAAAGGTCTAGCATTATTTCTATTCTTTTTTCACATTAAAATAGATCTCTTCTTTTATGAAATAATGGTAGGTTAAAAACAACAACACAACAACAACAAACCAAACTCACTGCCATCGAGTCGGTCCCGACTCATAGCGACCCCTCCTTGGGTTTCCAAGGCAGTATCTCTATGGAAGTAGATTGTCCAATCTTCTTTCCAAGGAGTGGCTGGTGAGTTTGAACCTCCAGCCTTCTGGTTAGCAGTCAAATGTCTTAGGCACTACGCCACCAGAGCTCCCAATGGTAGGCAGTAATTATTTTAAAACAATGTTCTTAGTTGGTAAAGTAAATTCCCAGCCCTCTGTTTTTTTTTTGTTTTTTTTTTTAATCCCAAATTGTTTTTTAATTGCTCTAGCCTGTGACATTTTTGTTTTAGCTAGAGGGGTCTTGAAGGATGAGTGAGAATTTGGTAGGTAGAGTGGAGATGAGTGGACAAGTAGGGGTAAGACTTTCTGGGCAATGGGAACAACATATGCAAAGGCCCGGAAATGTCAAAGGCCAGGGTGTATTTGTAAAGTGGAGATATATTCAGTGGAGTTGAAGCATTGAGCTACTGGAAAAGAGTGGCAGGAGGAGAAGTTGGAGAGCTCTGGGGAAATCACATGGAGATGGGTCTTGTCTGTGCCTCCTGGGTTTTATCCTTGTAGGTATCAGTGGGTCTTGAGACCTTGGCTGGGGAACAACGTGACCAGCAGGGGTATTGTGGTTGGAGGAGCTTTCTTTCACATCTCCAGCTCTTCCTGAGTAACACTAGCCATTTCCAGGTGGGTGTGGGGCTCAGGGTGAGGTTTTTGGTATAGTTCCTTCCTTCCCTTCAAATGAGTCCCAGAGTAGGTCTTGTGTGTTTCACAGGTGAGGAAACTGAGGCACAAATGTTGCTGATACGTGGCAGCAAATTAAAGGCCATGATACTTCACTCCCTAACTTGCCACATTGGGCTTTTTAAAACTAGATTAAAACATAATGAAATCTTTCCTGCTTCAAAAGCACACAGAAAGCCCACTTTTTAGGTCCTATTTGGTGTGTCTGTGACTTGCATTCATTTGAGGAGAGACAATAGGAGTTAAGGCTGTAATCTGCTCTGAATTCTCTGGGAACTGGAGTCTATGGCAGTGGTTATTTTTGAAATAGCGTTCTAAGCCCTCCCATGAACTCCAGTAAAGCGTAAAGGAAGTTGGAGGTGTCTTAATTATGAAACTGTCGGAAAAGCCAGTCCCTGCTCCACACCCCCGTGCATTTCTGGAGATTACAGTTTGTCAGTTATCAGACACAGTTACCTGTAATTCTCCCAATCTTGTGCATTCCGCCAATGTAACTGCCAGCAAATCCTGAGACATGTGCACCCAGGCTGTACCCAATTAGATGAACATTGCTTCGAGAAAATTGTACAGATTCCTGGAAGACAGCAGCAGGGTGATTGCCTGGATGAAAGCCTTTTGTGGGTGCATCTTGTCTGGGCACTCACCCTGCTCTTGGCATGTGATAGGAATGGGGTGCTTCATTTATAGTCCAAACAGAAAGTAGTTTCTCACCCTCCCTCCCTCCCTCCTCTCTGAAGCACTGACTGGATCAGTGCTGGATCAGCTACCTGGGACCCTACCTGGCAGCCACTGTTTTCCCTGTCTGCCTGTCTTCACCTTGACGTTAATGTCTTGCAGAAGTAGCATTGTTTATTGTGATGTTTGATGGTTTACAGGGTATGTCCAGATCTCTAAGCATAACCAAGAGGCTGGATATAAAAGGAATAGTAGGTGAGCAGGGGAGAAGATGAGTCTATAGAACAGAGGTTTGAGTGAGGCATCTAAGAGAGCCCTGGGGTCGGACTCTGTCCGGTTCCTGACCATTCCTGTAAGCTTGGTGGAAGTGGTTCTCTTCTCTGGGTTGCTTTTGGAGACCAGCTTTATTCACTCATTCTTGGAGGAAGGGAGAGGAGGGGAGGGGTGGAGTAGATCTTACCTCTAGCCACCGGAGAAGAGCTGCGACCTCCTGGCCCACAAGGCGGGTGTTGCGGACGGCAATGGCATAGTGTTGGTGGGCCAGGGTGATCCAGTCAGCCAATCCCACATTCACTGGCTGTGACAGGCCAGACTTCAGTGCAGCTACCATCTGCCAGATCCAGGTTTCCAGCATGCCGTCCACCTGAGGGCAGCCAACAGGCCAGTCAGCCTGGCTGGGAGGGAAGAGTGTGATACCAGTTTCCTCTTTCTCCCAGCCTGCCCTTCTTCCTTTACCAGTTCTTGGGTGATGTAAGAGTCAAGAGAAAGAGATTACCATGGGGTTCCTCAACTGCAGCACTATTGCCATTTTGTGCTGGATAATTCTCTGTTGTGGGGGGCTATCTTGCATAACAGCATCCCTGGTCTCCACCCATTAGATGCCAGTGACACCCTTCTGACAACCAAAAATGTCTCCAGACATTGCCAAATATTTAGGAGGCAGGAGAGAGGATGGGAAATCACCCTTTTCTGAGAACCACTGACTTAATATTGATCTACTTTGGGGCTTTCCAAGCCTTAAAACAATGGAAAAGTCTTTGAATCAGGCACAGAAACCTACCCTGCCCTTTGAAGCTCATCTCTAATACCACCTCCTCTGTGAGGTGCCCTCCTCTACATCCCACAGCATTTGGTCTGATCCAGGGCCCACTGCCTTCTGGTTTGCTTTAGAGGGACTAGTACCATCAGCCTGTACATAGTAGGTGCTCAATGAACGTTTATTGAAAATTTTTTGAGAACAATTGATAGGGCACTCCTGATGGGGTACACAGAGTTATGGCAGTTGTTGTGTGTCTTGAAGGGTAAATTGGAGTTCAGGAAGGAGAATAGGGTGGGTAGATGGATGTGGTACTAGTGAGGTTGGGGACAAGGTGCTCTAGCAGAAGGAACAGTACCTGCACAGGCAGAGTTATGAAAGGGAGCAGTATGTTTGGGGAGAGGAGAAAAGTCAGTTATGATTAAATGGTAGACTCTGGGAGTGAAGGATTAGGCGGGGAAGCTGGAGAGCTATTCTGATGGCTTGACTTGTCATTCTGGGATAAAATGCATTCATTTAATAAGTATTTTCCAAAGCATCTTGTATCCAGACTATTTTTGGCTCAAATCCAGGCTCTCCTAGTCACTAGCTGAGTGATCCTGAGCAAGTTATTTAACCTTATGGTGCCCAAGTTTTGTCATCTGGAAAATGGGGATAATAATAGTACCTACCTTTGTGAATTGTGACCATGAAATGAGTTAATAGATATAACTTAGAACAGCAGCTGGAGCAGAGTAAGCACTCAGTAAGTTACTGCAAACCAAAAAAACCAAACTTACTGCCATCAAGTCCATTGCGACTCATAGTGACCCCCCCTTGGGTTTCCAAGGCGGTATCACTACAGAAGTAGATTGCCCAGTGTTCCTTCCAAGGAGTGGCTGGTGGATTTGAACCGCCAGACTTCTGGTTAGCAGTCAAGTGCCTTAGGCACTATGCCACCAGAGCTCCTAAGTTACTACAGTTGTTGTTTTTATTGTTATGGTTGCTGTTATTTTTATCAGTAGTAGTAGTGTCATAGTAAACATATTCTGGATTGGGCAGGATTTTGAGAAGGAAGAGCTTGCCTGTCTCAGCACACGTAGGTTACCCAGTGTGGGTGTGTTTATGGTCCTGTTAAGAGGACCCTGCAATCTTCAACATGTATCTGTAAATAAAAGACTCATTTGTTCAGTCATTGACTCAATGGATAAACATCTTCTGAGCCTCTACTATATACTGGCTACTGCCCAACAGTGGTCAGTTAGATAGAAATAGAACAGAATCCTTTCCATTAAGGAGCTTACAGCCTAGCAGGGCAGAGCGACACCCACACAGACAATGGTAAAGCTGTGCAGCAGAGCAGCCTGGGACCCCGAGGGAAATACCCAGTGAACCCCAGGGAGGGAATGGAGGCAGGGAAGGCTAGCAGGGGACCTGATGTAGGATTGTGCCCTACAGGAAAAGTGGGAGTTAATCAGGAGAAGACAGGGAAAAGGACACTCCTGGTAGAGAGCACATCCTAGGCACAGACCAAGAGAAGAGAAACTGCATGGTATGTGGAAGGATGTGTACAAGCAGGTGGAAGAAGTGGGAGGCAGGGGGACATGGGAGAATGCAGGGGAAGGTGAGGTGGAGGCAGGGCAAGGTGAGGTGCAGGTAGGTGGAGACAGAAGTAGGTGAAGAGTAGCAGAAGCAGGTGAGGGGGGGTGTGGGGAAGCAGGGGGTAGGTGAAGGGGAAGCAAGGAAGAGGTAGGGAGGAGGCAGGAGTAGGTGAGGGAAAGATGGGGAGAGGCAGAGGTAGGTGAGGAGGAGGAAGGGATTGGTTAGGAGGAGGAGAGGGAAAAAAAAAGGGAGTGGAGGAACAGGGAAAGGAAGGGAGGGAGGCAGGGAAAGGAAGGGAGGAGGCAGGGCCAGACAAGAGCCCCCAGAAGTGCTCACTCTCCTGTTTGCCAGCTTTTCTGACTTCTCTCAACTCCAGTCATTACCTCAAATCAGGTCCTATGTCCAGAACTCTGTCCTTCCCTAATGTTCCCCTCTGGAAGCAAAGCTTTTCCTTTACAGATGACTGGGTTTGAACGGCTCCTCTGATCCACTTCTCTGCCCCTCAGGTCCTTACACACAAGTTTTCCATCTCTGATCTTAGCTCCCTTTAAAACACAGCCATCTTCTCAAGGTCCTGATCTCTGCTTCCTATTCTGTGTTCTTCTTTAAGAAATGCTGACTCAGCTGTGCCCAGTCATGGAGAAGCTCTCCTGCCATAGTGAGATCCCAGCTGCAATGAGGCCATGAGAGGCACACCCAGTGTTCATGGTACAGGGACCCCCCAGTCAAACCCCTTCCTTGATAAGGCATGTCCAGGAGTTGTTGGAGTGACAGTGTTCTGGTTTTGAATTCCTGTTCCACTGATGGCTCTGTGACTGTGGGTGAGTTCCTTAAACTTTCTGAGCTGCAATTTTCTCATCTGATTGATGAGACTATCTACCCACCCTGTAGGGGGTGGTGAGATTAAAAGGGCTGATATATGTAAAGAGCCTGGCTTGTAGTAGGGTCTCCATCTATGTTAAATCCCTTCTTTAGGGGCAGGAAATCTTCCACAACCTTAACTGCCATCCCTGTGGTGTGATGGAGCCCCCACTTTCCTACAGTGAGACCTCTTTAAATCTTAGGGTGGCTCTGCTGGTGGGCGGCAGGAACTTCTGTGTTTTTCTCTTGATTCAGGCACCTCTACTCATGTGGCATCATGTGATACCCCCACTAGACTGTAAGATCACCCCTCAAGAGGGCTGGGATGGTGTCTGTTTTGTGCCTGGTGCTTAGCACCGTGCTGGCACATACCAGGCTCTCAATGAACATGTGTTGAGTGAGAGAGTGGCTGGATCATTTTGCTCTCTAGGGTAATATAGATGGGAGTTTTGCAGGCATTTTTTTTTCCCCAAGTAGATGGTCATGAAATAGACAACAAAATCTCTGAAGGGTTCCAATTGTGAGCTAAGGTCCAAATCAAGCTTTGAAACAGGGACGCAAAATTTCTTCTTGGGGACAAGTGCTCACTTGGCTTGCCTGTACTTGTTCTCTACAATATCCTTTTTTCCTTCTTCTATAATAATAGCATGTTTATCATCCCTGAAAGTCTGTCACTAAAAGGCTACATTTATGTCTCCTTTGTACCCAGATATGGCCACTGGATGTAATTAGAAGCATTTTATGGAGGCTTCTAGAAGCCTAACCCAAAAAACCTTTATTTGACCCTTTCGTGTACATTTCTTACTACATTATATTGCCTGAAATACACATGTGATGGCTAGTGCTCTTGCTGCCATTTTGTACTATGAGGATGAGAGCTACATGCTAAGGATGGTATAAGTAAGCTGGAAAGAACTGGAACCTTGAGAAGTTCACTGACCAAAGCCATCTAACCAGTTATGAATTCCATACCTTTGGACTTCTGCATGAAATGGAAACAAGCTTCTGTTTTATTTGAACCACTGCTAATTTGTGTCTCCATTTTTTCAGCTGAACCTAATCCTTAACCACTACAACATTTCATTGGGGTCTTTGCCAGTTTCCTACCTCTATGAAACACACAGATTCAGGTAGAAGCCTTCCTCTGGCATGGACTGCAATCCCTTATGGATGCTAATGAGCTGTGTGACCTCTTTGAGCCACATTTTATTATCTGAAACATGGAAATAATTATATTTTCCCTGCCCTGCTTACCTCACAAAATTGAGCTAATCAATGAGATAATGTGTGAGGAAGTGCTTGGAAAATTAGAATGTGCTTTACAAATATTATGCATGAAGTTGTTGTCATCAGCTTCTCATCTTTTTATTAAAAGTGAACACACTAGGAAGAAAAAAAGAAAATTTAAAAGCAGAGAGAAAAAAGGCCCGTCAGCATTTCCTACCGACCACCCGTGGATTATCATCACCAGCGGCAGGGAGGCGTTGAAACTGCATTCCTGTAATGTGTCGGGGTGATTGAGCCGGATCTGACAGCCTTTATCAGCTTCTTCTTCAAAGAGCAGAAATCTGGTCTTTGTCTCCTGCAATGTTTTCTTTGTTTCAACATCTTGAGATCTTCTTTGAAATGGCTCTGGAATACAAGATTAGGGATGGCGTTTAGCATGGTGTCTGTTCCCCTCTGCCAGCTCTGTGACCTCTCAAGGATTTTTAGGGGCACAAACCAATGGGGTTAATGTGAGGTATTGGGCATCACATGAGCCATCACTTTTGGGGCAACCAAAGAACATTTCCACAGAATGCCATTTCTCTACTAGGAGGTGATGGAGGCTGACCTAAAAGGGCCCATCACAGATGCAGAGGATGCAGAGTCTCCATCCTGCCATCCCAGTAACCTTAGGCCCAATCAGTCAGACATTATATCCTAGGATTTTACAGTAGACTAACTCAAGGATATAAAGAATATAGGAGAAGAAACTGATATTGAAGTTTGGAGAGGATAAGCATCTCAATCAAAATCACACTGCTGATAAGTGGTAGTGCCAGGATTTGAACCCAGGTCTCTCTGACTCCAATTCCCATCTCTACATCCCTATGCTAGGAGACAGTGAATAGAAGTTTCTTAATTAGAGGATACTATGGATTAGTTTACTCTCCTGTCAGTTTGTCATACTGTGGTGGCTTGTGTGTTGTTGTGAGGCTGGAGGCTATGCCAGTGGTATTTCAAATACCAGCAGGGTCACCCATGGTGGACAGGTTTCAGAGGAACTTCCAGACTAAGACAGACTGAAAAGAAGGTCAGGGCCATCTACTTCTGAAAAAATTGGCCAGTGAAAACCTTATGAATAGCAGTGAAACACTGTCTATGGTACTACTGGAAAACTTTATGAATAGCCCTGAAACATTGTCTGACATAGTGCCAGAAGATGAGTGTCCTCAGGCTGGCCAAAAAAAGAAAGAAAGAAAAAAAAAAAAAAGAACAAAAACCATAAGCACTGCCATCAAGTTGATTCGACTCATAGTGACCCCCTCCTTGGGTTTCTGAAGCTGTATCTCTATGGAAGTAGTTTGCTCAATCTTCCTTCTAAGGAGTGGCTGGTGGGTTTGAACCACCAGACTTCTGGTTAGTAGTCAAATGCCTTAGGCACTAAGTCACCCGAGCTCTCCCCCCAGGTCGGAAGGTACTCAAAATACAATTGGGGATGAGCTGCCTCCTCAAAGTAGAGCCAACCTTAATGACATGGATGGAGTAAAGTTTTTGGGACTTTCTTTGCTGATGGGGCAAGATTCAAAATGGGAAAAAAACAGCAGCAAATATTTATTAAAAATCAAACCATGGCATGTACAAAGTATGAATCTAGGAAAATTGGAACTTGTTAAAAATGAAATGGAATGCATAAAGATCTAGGCATTAGTGAGCTGAAATGGACTGGTATTGGCCATTTTGAATCAGACAATCACATGTTCAACTGTGTCAGGAATGACAAATTGAAGAGGAATAACATCACATTCATCATCAAAAAGAATGTTTTAAGATCTCTCCTGAAGGACAGTGTTGTCAATAATAGAATTATATCCATATGCATACAGAGAAGACCAGTTAATACTATTATTAAAGTTTACACACCAACCACTAAAGTCAAAGATGAAGACATCGAAGATTTTTAGCAACATCTGCAGTCTGAAATTGGCCAAACATTCAATCAAAATGTATTGATTATTGCTGTGATTGGAATGCAAAAGTTGGAAATGAAGAATCTCTAGTAGTTGGAAAATGTGGCCTTAGTGACAGAAACGACACAGGAGATCACATGACAGAGTTTTGCAAGACCAACAACTTATTCATTGCAAATGCCTTCTTTCAACAACATAAATGGTGGCTGTACATGTGGACCTTGCCAGCTGGGATACACAGGACTCATATTGACTGCCTCCATGGAAAGAGTTGATAGAGAAGCTCCATATTTTCAGTCAAAATAAGGCCAGAAGCTGACTGTGGAACAGACCATCAGTTGCTCATATGCAAGTTTAAGCTGAAGATGAAGAAAATTAAAACAGGTCCATGAGAGCCAATATATGACCTTGATTACATCCCACCTAAATTCAGAGACCATCTGAAGAATAGATTGGATGCATTAAACACCAATAACTGAAGACCAGATGAGTTGTGGAATGACATCAAGAACATCAAACACAAAGAAAGCAAACAGGCATTGAAAAGACAAGAAAGGAAGAAAAGACCAAAATGGGTGTCAGAAAGGATTCTGAAATTTGTTCTTGAATGGAGAATAGCTAATGAAAATGGAAGAAATGATGAAATAAAAGAGCTGAACAGATAATTTCAAAGAGCCACTTGAGAAGACAAAGTCAATTATTATAATGAAATGTGCAAAGATCTGCAGTTAGAAAACCAAAAGAGAAGAACACACTTGGCATTTCTCAAGCTGAGAGAACTGAAAAAAAATTCAAACCTTGAGTTACAATATTGAAGAATTCTATGGGCAGAATACTGAATGATACAGGACATCAAAAGAAGATGGAAGAAATGCAGAATCACTGTACCGAAAGTAATTGGTTGATGTTCAACTATCAGGAAGTAGCATATGATCATTGAAGGAGGAAGTCCAAGACGCAATGAAGGAATTGGTAAAAAAAACAAGGCTCCAGGAATTGACAGAATACCAATTGAGATGTTTCAACAAATGGACACAGTGCTGAAAGCCCTTACTTATTTATGCCAAGAAATTTGGAACACAGCTACCCAAGCAACCAACTGGAAGAGATCAATATTTGTGCCGAGTCCAAAGAAAAGTGATCCAACAGAATGTGGAAATTATTGATCAATATCATTAGTGTCACATGCAAGTAAAATTTTGTTAAAGATAATTAAAAAATGGTTGCAGCAGTACATTGACAGGGAACTTCCAGAAATTCAAGCTGGATTCAGAAGAGGACGTGGAATGAAGGATACCATTGCTAATGTCAGATGGATCTTGGCTGAAAGAAATGAATACCAGAAAGATATTTGTTGTTGTTGTTAGGTGCCATCGTGTCATCTCTGACTCATAGCAACCCTATGTACAACAGAATGAAACACTGCCTGGTCCTGTGCCAGTTCCACGATCCCTGCTATACCTGAGCCCATCATTGTGGCCACTGTGCCAATCCATCTTGTTGAGGACCTTCCCCTCTTTTGTTGACCCTCCACTTTACCAAGCATGATATCCTTCTCCAGGGAATGATCTCTTCTTACAACAGACCAAAGTAGGTGAGACGAAGTCTGGCCATTCTCACTTCCAAGGAGCATTCTGGCTACACTTTCTCCAGGACACATTTATTAGTTCTTTTAGTAGTCCATGGAACCTTCAGCATTCTTTGCCAGCACCACAACTCGTGAAAGCATTGACTCTTCTTTGGTCTTCCTTATTCATTGTCCAGCTCTCACATGCATATGAGGCGATTGAAAATACCACGGCTTGTGTCAGGCACACCTTAGTCCTCAGTCATCTCTGCTCTTCGGCACTTGAAAGAGGTCTTTAGTAGCAGATTTGCCCAGTGCTATACGTCTTCTGATATCTTGACTGCTGCTTCCACTGGCGTTGATTGTAGAACCAAGTAACAAGAAGACTTTGACACTTCAAGTTTTCTCCATTTATCGTGATGCTGCTTATTGGTACAGTTGTGAGGATTTTTGTTTTCTTTATATTGAAGTAATCCATACTGCAGACTGTATTCTTCAATCTTCATCAGTAACTATTTCAATCATCCTCATTCTCAGCAAGCAAAGTTGTGTGGTCAGTGTATTGCAGGTTGTTAATGAGCTTTCCTCCAATCCTGATGCCACATTATTCTTCATATAGTCCAGCTTCTTGGATTATTTGCTTAGCATAGTGATTGAATTAGTATGGTGAAAGGATGCAACCTCAATGAAAGATATTTACCTGTGTTTATTGACTATGCAAAGACATTTTACTGTGTGGATCATAACAAATTATAAATAACATTGTGAAGAATTGGAGCTCCAGAATACTTATTTGTGCTCATGAATAACCTGTATGCAGACCAAGAAGCTCTCATTCATACAGAAAAAGGGGATACTGTATGGTTTAAAATCAGGAAGGGTGTGTGTATCCTTTCATCATACCTATTCAATCTGTATGCTGAGCAAATAATCTGAGAAGCTGGACTATATGAAGAAAAATAAGTCATCAAGATTGGAGGAAAACTCATTAACAATCTGCCATATGCAGATGAAACAACTTTACTTGCTGAAAGTGAAAATGACTTGAAGTACTTACTGACGAAGATCAAAGACTACAGTCTTCAGTATGAATTACATCTCAACATACAGAAAACAAAAATCCTCACAACTGGACCTATAAGTAACATCTTGATAAATGAGAAAAGATTGAAGTTGTCAAAGATTTTATTTTACTTGGATCCACAATCAACACCCATGAAAGTAACAGTCAAGAAATCAGATGTCGTATTGCACTGGGCAAACCTGCTGCAAAAGAAGCAAACATGTCACTTTGAAGAGTAAGGTGTGCCTAACCCAAGCTATGAATAAGGAAGACCAAAGAAGAGTGGATGCTTTTGAGCTGTGGCATTGGCAAAGAATACCAAGAGTACCATGGACTGCCAGAAGAATGAACAAATTTGTCCTGGAAAAAGTGCAGCTGGGATGGTCTTTGGAAGCGAGAATGGCCAGACTTCGTGTCACCTACTTTGGTTATGTGGTCAGAAGGGGCCATTCCCTAGAGAAGGATATCATGTTCAGTAAAGTGGAGGGTCGGTGAAAAAGGGAGGGTCTTCAATGAGATGGATTGGTCCAGTGGCTGCAACAATGGGCTTAGGTATGGCAAAGATTGTGAGGATGGTGCAGGACTGGGGAGTGATTTGTTCAGTTGTATGTAGGGTGACTATGAGTCAGAGCCAACTTGATGGCACCTAACAACAACAACAACCCAACTATGGTATTTTCAATTGCCTCATATGAATGTGAAATCTGGACAATGAATAAGGAAGACCAAAGAAGAATTGATGCCTTTGAATTGTGGTGTTGGCAAAGAATACTGAAAATACCGTGGACTATCAGAGGAATGAACAAATCTGTCCTGGAGGAAGTACA